ATATAGTTCTATTGCCTTTTGTAGTTATTCATAATCACCTTTGCATATTGATAAGTAGATTGTTTTCTGTTTTAGTTTCTAATTTTCTCACGTTGCTTAAATCAATATAATACATACTTATGATATAAACATGAAAGATGGTTTTAAAAAAAAGAGAGAGAGAGAGAGAGAGAGAGAGAGAGAGAGAGAGAGAGAGAGAGAGAGAGAGAGAGAGAGAGAGAGAGAGAGAGAGAGAGAGAGAGAGAGAGAGAGAACACTTCTCCTCCCATGGCGACACATTAAGTGATAAAACACATATCCCCATTGCTAATAATCCCAATTGGACTTCCGAATCCAGGAAGGAAAGGGAATCGTACTGGATACGCCGCCTTAGAGCATCGAAACCAAGCCGTCTAAACCAAGACAAGAAAAAGAAAAATATGTGCCAGTAGAATTATCCTTTTCAGCCGACACATTTTCTTTTAAAACTTTTGTAAATCTTCTTAAAATTCTTTAATTAATACTATAAGATTAAAATATCCGGAACAAAATCAAATATTCGGGATATAATTTGCGTTACATAAATGCACAAAAAGTAATAAATGTCGCTATGGCTCATAGACGTCTAGTTGAATACAAATATATCTCACTATCCGCAAGAAGTCTACATAAGCTGATGGAGACATAATGAATATATAGGTTTAATTCATATAGAAACAGCCATGTACAGTTTTACAAACACAACGATTTTATGTTTTATTTGATTGTTTTGTCCATGTTTTAAATATGCCTTTGAAAAAGACACATTAAGAAATGAGAACGCTAAGGCTAGTTAGATTCTAGTTCTGTACTATTCGTCGCCAGTTTATTGTATATATATATATATATATATATATATATATATATATATATATATATATATATATATATATATATATATATATATATATATATATATAACTCATGTAGTGACAGCCATGTATGGTTTAACAAACACATCGCTTTTTATGCTTATTTGTTTTTTTTTTATATGTTTGGTATATGACTTTCAAAATGACTCATTAAGAGTCGAAAGCGCTCAGACTAATTAGTTACTAGTTTCACACTGTTCATCGTCAGTTTATTGCATCTATCTTAATCAATCCCTGACACACGTTACATGTCATAGTTTCGCTTGCAATATATTTTTTAAGTTAGTTCCGATTTCTAATTTGATTTCGTTGGCGTGTGTGGGTTTGGGTATGCGTGTGGATGTTGTTTCCGAGTGTGTGTTTGTGTGTGGGTGGGAGGTGGTTGTGGTAGTGGTGTGTGTGTGTGTGTGTGTGTGTGTGTGTGTGTGTGTGTGAGAGAGAGAGAGAGAGAGAGAGAGAGAGAGAGAGAGAGAGAGAGAGAATATATTTCTTTTTGACTATATTGAATGTTTTAACGCTTTTGAACCAAGCAATGATATACTCTAAACTCCTAAATCATGGGCTTAAGCAAACACATTGTTCGTCAGTCTGTTTAATTTAGTTTAAACGGTAATTTTAACTCATTATTAGCTACATCCCGTCGATGAAATGAAATCGTCCCAATTAGACGCGGATAAAGCCCATTCCATGAATGGGTATTGAACCTTCTACCCTTGTGTTACGAGTCCAACGCTCTACTAAATGAGCTAGCACGGCTCCGCATTGCTTCTGCAATCCGGATCAAATTTATGAAGTATATTAAGATCTTGGACACGGGCCAAATTTTGCAGAAGGCTTCTTGTATTTTCAGCTGCTTAGGTTACCTGATGACTATAACAACCGCTCGTTCATATTAAATTTGGAACCATGGAAATGTAAGTTTCATAGCTAAATGCAGGGAATTGATTAAATATACGGCAAGCTCGTATGTTTTGTATATGTATGGTGTTAATGGTAGGCTAGAAAAGATGCATTATGAACATATGTACTGTAAGTGCCAGGAGTTAATGGTAGGCTCAAAAAGGTTCATTTTGAGTTGTTAATTGAATTAGATCTGCTTGAATGCACATACGTTGTTCATTTTGTTGGTTCTGTCATGTCGAGGAAACATGATCAAGTCTTTCCTACGAACATACCGAGTCAGCAGATCCTAGGTGGTCTTTGCTGGTATCGAACCCGCAACCCTGGACTACAAGCCTACCAAATGTTCTACCTAGGTTCCAGCACATACATACATACATACATACATACATACATACATACATACATACATACATACATACATACATACATACATACATACATACATACATACATACATACATACATACATACATACATACATACATCCGTTTTGAATGTTATAAAGTAATCTCCCTCTTTCGGTGATTCCACATTTAAGTTTTACTGGCTTGTGAGCAGGATAACAAAACAAGCACGAATACTGAATTTTTAACAAATTCAGTATGTGGATATATCTAAAAATAAATCCGTGAACGATACTATTTCAGTAAATAGAAGAAAAAAAATATTAAAAATGTAACCTCGCTTAGCACGCAGGTATATCTTGACTTTGAGATAAGTTCAGTGATATTCTGTCCATGGTAACAGATATGTATAGACATTATCTTAAACAAGTTCATTTATGTTTTTCCATGGTATCGGGTGTCTTAACATTATCTGACACAAGTCATTGTCTGACACAAATTATTGCCTGAAAAGTTCAACGATCTTCTATCAATGCTATCAAGTTCATGATCTCAACAGTATGTTCTACACGTACAGGATTCTTGTGAACATGTTCACTTAAACATGTAAGAAAATATTTTTGTTACTAAAAGAATTGTTATGTAGGAGTTTCCTAACAGAAGAAACTGATTTATCTTAAATTCCTGGAAATTTTTATAGCATGAGTTCCTATCGATGGATTCTTGTTATAAGAATTATTGCAATTCTTTTCTTGCAGGTGAATGCAGTGTGTGACAAAATCATGTGAACACAACTAGTCGCAGACTCTGCAATGGATTACTATTAAAAGTGTTGAACGTTATGGACATGATCGGGTAATCCTCATACCGACATATCACTTTGTTCCTGCATTGTTTGTTAGAGTTATTGTCCATTCTGTATTATAATTTCGTGTGTAACAGTCTATTTCATGCAGCATGTTCCGCAATGTTTGATCGTTTACCATACAAGTTTTAGTGTTATCACATGAAGATGGTTATACGGGCAAATCAATTTACTCACGCAATATTTATGAGTTATTGCCCTTTAATTAACCTGTAAACCTGCCAACCCATACAATGTTAACGTAAAAGATTATTGAAACGTCCTTAAACGAATGATAGCAAAAAATTACGAACATACGACTGTTGCAGTAAAATCTGGATATTGACTTGTCTTGGTTTGATCATAATCTATTTTTAATTTTAAACAATCGTTGAAATTGGTTAGTAAATCAGACTAATTTAAGAGTAGATACTTAGACATTTTAATCAACCTGAGTTATTGACGCAAAATGTTTACGTGATCCAACTTTTACTTTTATATTTTATTATTGTCCTTAAACGTTGACTAAGACACAAAAACACAATGTATTAGAAGATTGTAACCTGCCTCTTAAAATGTCCTATCCCTAGAACAAAAGTAAAAAAAAAAAATAAAAGAATATTCAGGAACATGGCTGTACTAGGAAAGAAAACAGGAAATACATCAATAACATTTATTGCCCGTTAAGTCGTGTCTAATTGAATATTGCCCATGGCGGGAGAGATGGATGCATCCAAAACGAAGACTGAAAACAAAAAGAAGAAAGATTATGTCGAGCTGAGATCAAGTACGTGGTCTTTGATCTACACGGGTTTTGGAAAAGCAGTTGCGGATACCGTACTTTAAATCATTGATGCTGAATTGATAAACATAGCTGAAAATAATGTTGCCTTTGCTGCATCATACACCTTTTCTACAAAATGCGTGCTTTCTAAGCAGGAACTGCATTACATTATGCTTGTTATAATCTTCTAAAAATGTGTGTGCCGACATATCACTCTACTTCTATAATATTTTGTTTAATCTGATGTAATACAAGAAACAATCTAGTGGATATACCTAATCTAACAGTATCCATTGGACATCCATATTAACAGCATCATTTGAAGATGCGTATATCATCAAAATTCGTGTGGGCTCCATTCAACCCCACCCCAGAAAACATGGAGTTTCTTAGAGTTAACGCAATTCGATTCGTACATATGAATGCAATGTATGGTGGAATATTGTGAAAGGTACCGTCAGACATTTGGATGGACCACTGTGAAACTTGGCACATATTATGGTCATTATCTGTCAACAAAAACAGAATGATCATACGAGTTTAATAAACATTATTGCTATTGTAATAGTTGACAGAATCACGAGAACGCAAATAGTGTCCCAACATTCAATGTTACCATCACATAACTTTTCACATTTAATAGCCGTCATCACAGTGCTCTTTCATTTTTATTTAGAATCAGCGTCCCTCTTTTCGTGCTGATTAATGAAGTATAACACAGATTTCCGTGTACGCTACTTGTCTTATAGTTTTATATGAATCACTATGAAACTTGGTACATATTAGGCAACTGACCTAAATATGCATATATTGATAAATCTGAGTGTTTCTTTTGTAAGAGTTCTATTCTTTAAAAAAGTTATGCTCTTGCAACTGGTAGCAAGATATATCAGAATTTTGTGAATACGACTACTATTTGAGTAGACTGCTGTGAAACTTAGTACAGTGTATGTGTGTGTGTGTGTGTGTGTGTGTGTGTGTGTGTGTGTGTGTGTGTGTGTGTGTGATTCGAACTTTTAAGATAGCTTTAATAATTTTTCAGTCCTATCGTTACAATGTCTGAAGTTTGGCAGTTTGAAAATGTCTAGCACTGGGGCTTCATTATTCTGACATGTAGCATCATATCTCACCCAGTCACATTATTCTGATACCAGGCCGACCAGTCCTAACACTTATCTCTTAATGTGGAGCGACTAGCGAGGCGGCTGCTAATAACACTTTTATAAGTCTTTGGTATGACCTAGCCGGGGTTCGAACCCGCGACCTCTTGCATTTGAGGCAGACGCTCTAACCACTTATGCCATCGAAGAAACAAAGCCTGTTGACGAATAAATGCACTATTTTTGCATTATTTATGCCTTATTTTAGTATGCAGGGTGCAGTTGTGGTGGTGGAATATTTTTGTGATCAAATAGCTCACCGTTCCTTTAGAGCATCCTGGATTTTATTTACAAATTGCAATGTAAAACGACCCTGTCTTTGAATTTCCTTTGTGTGATTACAAATTATTTACAATTCTGAAACTGAAAATTTTTCATTTCGACAGAATATGATAAAAAATATATATATCCTAAACATAGTCTATTTTATAAAAATGTTATCGTGTATAATGTCATTGTTAGAGAATATCTGTATTCAAATGTACGACTTTTATATTTCATCGTTATTAAAAACTAATTAGCATGAAGAGTGATGCTTAAGTTCTCTAGACAATGTTGCATGTTATTTAAATATTAAAAGAGTTCCATAACTTTCTGACTGCCATTTTGTTTACTGTTATAGACTGACACTTTTATTAACTCGGCAGTTACATTGTGACACAATTAGGAGAGTCTTCGTCATTGTCACATATAATTGCAGATCACATACATATACTTCCTTAAATTTGCTGTTGTACTTACGTCAGTATATCTGTTGAAACAGCATGTTCTATTTCTATCAGGCACACTTTTCTTAATAACATTTTTCCATGCAAGACGTAACAGAAAAGAGAAGAAAGAAGCCCAAGGGAATGACAATCAGTGTAATGCTTCTCCAATGGGAAATTATATGTAGTTTTCGTCATCTGTGTCCGTTATCAAACATATATACACAGTTGCAGTTACTAAATTTTTAGGGAGGTAAAAAGAATATTTTATGATTCACCCATTTATTTTTATGTGTGTGTGTGTACTTTTCTGTTCATGGTAAATGAAATAATCTATTTGTAGCCGTTGTTGTTAATATATTTTTCACAAATATGTTGAATTTTCCAATTGATTATTAAGCTGTTAAGGACGTTTCTTATCAAACCTTGCACAGAAATACAATGCTGAACAAATGCGAAATGCATGAATTAAGTCCGATTTGCTTAGATTCCTCTTTCATAACGCGCTAGAATACAACTCCATGGAGACAGCTTGCTGCATTATCATATTATACGGAATGAAACTATTATTAATTTTGATGCCTTAAAGAGTCTAAATCTATGCGTATGATAATGAAAATGCTTCATACAACATTTAACATTATATACTTTATTGAAGGGAGTATTACGTTTAATTAAACCAGTAATAACGTATGCGAAGTGCCGGTGAATGCAATATGTTTGCAGGTTAATATAACTTTTTTGATAATATAATTATATTGTTACACACACACACATATATATATATATATATATATATATATATATATATATATATATATATATATATATATATATATATATATATATATATATATATATATATATATATATATATAGTGAAGAAGTTTAATCATGCCACGAATTTAACATTTGGACTTTATCGACACGTCAAAGGCATAGAGAACACGCGTTATAATGAGTTATAGCATATTACATCATTTCAAGACATGCAACAAATAATTGCTTCGACTGTTTGTCATGCAAAATTTGAGAACTGCACAGTAATTAAATCATATATATACGAGACTATTGCTCATATGCGTCAAAGAATGCATGTTACAAACTGTGATTGTTGTGAAAATGAGTGACTGATGTTTCACATTCTTCATTCATAAACTACGATATTAATGCGCATATCAACTGAATAATATGTAATTCGGTTAATGATTTCCTTTTACAGCAATAGGAATCAGTACACAATTAATAAAATCCGGTTCAGTACCCACGAATGTAGTCCCAGTCTATTTTTAGATCACTTTTTCCGGTCTAAATTTGGTGGTGATACTAGAGTTAGATTTTGGCATTCTTGGTAAGGATTTAAAGGCAATTGATTATTCTTTAAAATGTGATCTTATGGTGTGGTTGTCTGTGTGTATTTCGGCGACAGTGAACATTGAGTAATAAGGTCATGGTGATGATCCGGAAGTGAAATCTGTGTTCCGTTGCCTGGTGTTTTGTTTACAATTCAGCCTCTCAAAAAAATGCAGGTCAACCCTTGACAAGAACTAAACCGTAAAGTCATCTTTGAAGGTATTTTAGATTAACATATGATGTGTATTGATTGTCACACAGTGGAAACTTCAGTACTGAGGAACAAATGTAGAGACCATATAGTAAAATTAATTGTGTACTATGGCCTGTCAGTGAAAACTTGAAACTGATATAAATTTTTATTATTAATGACATATACATGAAATTTTAATATGTTATGTATATTGACTTTAAAAATATAAAAATGAAATTAGAAGTAAAAAAATAATTTTAATTTTAAAAATTTAATTGAAATTTAAAAAACAATTAAAAAAAATTTCCACTAAGTATACACATATATAATATTTTTTGGGAATGATATTAAATGATATCAGCATATATATACTCCTACACCATATACAAGCTCAAATGATGGATATTTGTCAAATTTGATCAGAGAAAATATCTTTATTAGTCAAAATGAGACCCTCATTTAAAATACATGAAGACAAAATTCTACTTTGCTTTGTACCTTTAGGTCATTGAAACTATTTATTTGGGGTTCAAACAGTTAATTTATGTGTTTATGATGGGGTGACTTCCTGAGTAACACATATCTGCTTGTATAGCTATCAGTAATTGTTTATAACCATAGTTATAGGGTATTTAGTGAGAGGACAGAGATGAAGACTTTATACTAGAACCTGTTCAAGTTCTCTACAGCAATAGGGTATTTAGTGAGAGGACAGAGATGAAGACTTTATACTAGAACCTGTTCAAGTTCTCTACAAAATCATATTAAGCTGTCAGAGAATGAAATACAGGTCAGAGGGGTAAAATATACTTTACCCAGGTATATTTACCATTGCATGTAAGAAAACAGCAAAATGATGTAAGTTGAACATAGAATGCATTCCATTGTATTGTTTAGTTTCTTTAAGATGTTGATTGATGTAGTGCGACATTGTAGCCCAGATGATATTATGGGAATTCTCATGATCCATTTTGCTTTATGCATTATTAATGACTAATAATATTTGTTATCTGACACTTTAAAGATTACATAAGTAATATTCAAACAGATTATTTGAATTTAACTTTCTACAACTGATCCTAACATGGTTACATAGCTGACATGAACAAATATGCATATATTTTGTAATGTTTAGAATCTAAAGTTGACATTGTTAGGCTGACATGGTACCTATAGTGAATCTGTAAGGCTCAGTTTTGACTGTGTGCACTTAAAATATCCCAAGATGTTATTTTCATCATGAATATGCCTCTGTAACACATTTCAATTTAGTACTTTGACAGAGGGCGGTATTGCAGCATCAGCTGATATTTGATTCCATTGAATCATTGAATCATTGAACTTAATAACTTGGTAGCCAAGACTCTTAAAAATAGACTAAAAATGTTCAAACAGATTATTTGAATCATGTTTGCACATGTGATTTTAACAAGTACATTGCATATGTCCCACACATGCAAATATCCATCCTTGTTTACAAGTTTTCGGGATGAAAATTTCACATTTAGTTGATGATATAGGATCTATTGGTACCTATAGTTGATATGTGTGGCTACATTTTGCTATATTCACTCACAATATCTAAAATTGTTTTTCCTTCATGAATAGGATTGCATATAGTAATAAATTTTAATTTGGTACATTGTCATTTGACTTTCCACTATACTGGTATGTATCAATGTTTGCACCAATGATCAAACCTCACCGTTCCAACATTGCCTTAAACTTTATGATACATACTCTACCTGATTAGTTATTTAACCTGTAAATGGCTAAATATGCTTGTAGAAACTTCATCTATTTTTAGGATGCATTTGTCACTTTAATAGATGCCCATTGCTTCACATTTTTGAGTGTCACTCTATCAAGTTTACCTTTTTTAACCATATTTGCAACCTGAATGTTATTTTGAAATCACCATATCTAACACATTTTAACTTCATTTGCCTACATCTTCCTTTTCTTAGAATTAAGTGAAACATGTTATATATTTTCAGGTCTAGTCTGGTATCTGAAACAAAGTATTAGAGTTGGATCAATTTGGAAGCTCTCCAGTAGTCCAATGGTGATAGCAAGGTCTCAGAAGGACATGTGCAGTGTGCTGCTATAAGTGACCAAGATGAGTTCATATCAGTACACTGATATACAGCATCTCAAAGACATGGCTTAGATCTTCATGAGAGAGATTCGCATCTTTTTTCAGTAAGGTGAAACTGTATTTTCATATTGCATTGTTGACTTTTGTAGTTATCGGCATTAAAATGGAATGCATATTGGCTATAAAACATGGTAGTGGTCCCATCAAAACTTTAAATTTGAGTGGGATATTAGTTATACAAACAACTGTCCAAGTACCTGAAACAATAAATGTGGAACATAGTACCTGTCATTGTTTCTTTAGTATGTACACCTATATGCATCTGGATAGGCATATTGCAATTTGCTGTCAAAATCACTGTGAGCTATCATGCTTCAGTACCCCTGGGATTAATATTATCAGTTGTACAGACCTAAACTACCATTTGTTTTAAAGACCATTCATTAATCCACATTGCTGCCTTAAATTTGTCAAACTGAATGTCATAACTTGTATGAAAATTTATTTTTTGTAAAATAAAAAGTTTTTAAAATTTATATATATTTTTAAATTTTCATTAAAATTTAATATATCAATATTTTTTAATTTCAAGACTATTTTCAGACAGGCCTTATCAAGTATTACAATTAGGTTTTTACTGCATTGAAAACTTCCTATAATTAAGGAAGATATAGCAAATTTAGTTTTGGTTTCTTAAGAACAATTGGATCTCAAATTGCACCCTATAGAACACCAGCACTACACACTTTCTGACAGCTGTCACATGTCTTGCTTGCAAGGAAATTTCAAAAGACTT